TCGTCAAGCAAGAAATGCAATTGATAAACAATGGGACGAAACAAAAATTTTAGCTTTAACTGGAATTTCTAGACTTTTTAAAAATTTCATGTCTATATTAATAAACTTTGATGGTTTTCGACAATTATGGGAATTATTACTTTCCCAATTTGAATATTTTTGTTTGCATTCAAGTTTAGAAGTTTCTATAGCTACTATCAAATCTTTTAATACAGTAATACAATATCCTTTTCAAGACAAATTTCAATATGATGATAAACTTTGTGAAAAAATATTACCATTTTGGAGAATAGCTTGGAATTTTTGGGAGAAAATAGGTTGGAGAATTATTTCAACCTCAGATCAAGAAGTTGCTTCAGATATGAAATATTCAACTACAATACATTTCACTCAAGATGCTCTTAGAATTTATCTTTTAATTTTTGGTGATATCTACAAAATAATTCGTTCGGAATTTACGATATTTGAATTAAAAAGATTTTTTAAAATCTCTTATGGAATATTGATTTATCCTAATAGTCCATTTTATTTGTCCGATTCCGATTGTCTTTCACCTTTACAAGAATCTATATTAGAAATTATTGGGCAATTTGATTTAAGTTTTTCAGGTGTACCTGCAGCAGTTTTAGAAAATTTTGCAGATTATATTACTCTTGCATTTACAAAAAAACAAATGGATGAGAAATTGAATGTAATATATGGATCAGTTGAACAACAAATTGCGATAAAGGAAGCAAACTCAAGTAATAAACATATAAATGGAGAAATTATTGGCATATCAACATCTAAAAAATCTTATTCGATAGTTTCTTATATTGCATTTTCCAAAACTGTTATGCAATTGGTTAAAGATTTATTCAAAACTTATGTTAATGATCAAATAGTTTATTTGGAAGGTGTTTTTAAAAAGATTATGAAGGCACGTTTTTAAAATGAAATTAATACAATAATATTGATTTAATAATCTTTTGATTTCAATTTTAATTAATTCTAATTTATTTTATATAGGCATATAGTGTTCCCATGAAATTGAAATATGATTGTCCTTTATCAGGAAAATATGATGATAATGCTGAACTTTGGAAAGTAGCATCGATTGCATTTTTGGATGTAGTAAATCATGGATTGAATGCTTTGGACCGTATTGGTGATGGTAAGTTTTAAATTTTATAACCTGATAACATACACATCTTAATATATTATTATTACTCTTTTAAAGCCATTTCTGAAGAATGTATTGTAAGCATATGGGAACAGATATTAGATGTTCTTCATAATACTTTTACACCTAAAAGGTATTTATAATTTAAATTATATTGACAAATAACAAATCATTAATATTTTTTTCTTTTCTAGCAAACTGCCATTATATATTCAAGTTGAACAATTAAACATTGATGAGTCTTTTGACATAAAATTTCTTTCAGATTTACAAACACGTGTATTAATTCACTTGGGCAATTCACGTGTTCCACAATCACTTATATTAAATGCAATAAAAATAATTTATGAAGGATCAAAATTATATTATACTGAGGTAGATAAGGAAGATAAACCGACAACTTGGAATGAAAGTATCGATGAAAATTTTCAATTTCTTGATAACTTAGAAACACTGTGCTGTAAACAAGTGTTAAAAAATATTGATAGTACACCAGTTTTTGTTACTCCGGTAGAACGAGAAAGGTTTGCCTATGCTTGCTTACAATGTTTGTTTGAACTATGTTCTGATGAAAAAGATGGTAATTAATTATTTACTTTTCATTTTTAATTATATTTATGAAAATAAACCTATTAATAAGTATTCTTAGATTTTTTTGATATAAGACAAAGAATAGCTAAAGTAACTGCTCCTATCTTATTAAAACGATGTGCTTTTGTAATTCATAATTATACTATCGATCAACCATTATTTGGAAGATGTTCTTTTCTAAGGTATATTTATATTTTGAGAAATATTATAAAAATTTTTATCAAAAATCTAAAATTATTTGAAAATTTCTTAGAATAAGGAATGATGAAATATTATTTGTGTTGCAAAAGTTGGTCAAATTACGACTTCGACAAAATATATTAGATTTTAATGAAAATTCAACAACGAGTAAGCTTTAATATTTTAATAATCAATATTAGTTTATAATAATTTGTTATAGTAATCAAAGCTTTGTTTTTATTCAAGATCTCTTGAAAAAACACATTTTATCAGGTCAAAATGCACATTTATTTTATTTGCAACGTGTTATAAGTGATGCCATTTGTTTAAAAGATTCTAATATCGATAAATTGTTAAAAGAATGTTTGAAAAAAATTGGAGAAGACTTGGGTGTTTATAAAATTAATATTAAACATATTTAATAGGTTGATACATAAAAAAATAATAATAATTTTATTTAAAATAAACTTATATTGTTATAGATAGAATTATTAGTTAATCGTTAATATAATTCGATAGAATAAATTTTCTTATTTCCCTTCTAAATATATAAATGTTTTTTAGTATAATTCCATTTTGATATGTAGCAGTAATTGACTTTACATATTCCATTTCATTGTACGTACGTGCAGTACGTACGTAAATCTAATTACAAACATAGTGCAGATGGTACGTATGATAACAATTATTAACTGTTAATCAATTCTTATATAGTAAAATTTGATATATACATATTAAAGATTATCCCTTAATCCGTATTCGGGGCAAATTTGCCCCGAATTTCTGATTCCCGGCAAATTTTTCACACTACCATT